TGCTTGTTGTTACTGTGTTATTTTTTACACTATAAATAAGATAATTCATACTTCATCAAGATAGTCATCACTCCTTTAGTGCTTACTGAGCACCACACCCTTTGTAGCCTACTTGATACAAATTATCTCACTTCATCTTCACAACAGCCCCATGTAGTAAGTATTAATATTTCCAGCCTAGGAGTGAAGAAAATGAGGCTTAGAAAGGTTAAAGAAATTTGACCACAATCAAGCAAGCAGTAAATAAGTGGGTTCAACCCAGACCTGTCTGGATTGGAAACCATAGTTTAACCATAGTTAAAATGCATGCCTCTATCCATAAGGTGATAATATCCCTAATCTTTGCCTTGCATTGTAGTTGTTGTTGTTGTTTGTTTTTATCAACTTCATTCCATCCAAAGAAATTGTTTTCACATTTCATCTGCAACACTTAGGATTCTTTCAGCTTCAAGTAACAGAAAATTCTATCTCAAATTGTCTCAACAATAAGGATATTTATTATCTCATATTACAAGAAATCCAGAAGTTGGGCAGCACCAGGGCTGATTGGTTTACTGACTCAACAACAACATCACAGACCCAAGTTCATTCTCTTTAGTCCGCCATCATCAGTGTGTTGGCTTTGTCCTAAGCTTGGAACCTCTGATAGCTCTGAGATGGCTATTCCAGTTTCCAGGAACACAGCCAGATGCAACAACATCCCATGGAGATGGTGGCATATATCTCTGTATGCTTCTATTCAAGAGCAAGAAAACCTTTCCCGGAAGGCCTTCAGCAAACCCCTCCTTAGGTCTCACTGGCCAGAACTGGGCCATATGCCCACCCCTAATCTCTAAAGGGCCAGTCAAGAGGATTCTATTCCCTATACCCATGATAGGTTGGTATGGGATGGTAATAGCATCATGTTCCCCAATAGACAAACATCTGAACAGGCTTCTGTAAAGAAGGAAGAGAGGGGCATGGATGATGAGTAGGCAAGCAACAGTATCTTCTATGTGTCCTCAGTGGTGTATGCTATATGTTCCATTGAGAATTTACTGTTGATGTATCAGCCTCCTCACTGCATGAAGAAGAGATGAGATAAGATGATCTATAAGGTCACTTCCAGCTCTAGGAGTTGTGTTTCAATTTTGCATTTTCATATAGATGGGACTGGGACTATTGGATAGCTCTTGTATCTCTGCTTTGACTGCCAACTATGACTTTAACCTACGAAATCATTTGTTTGCCAGCTTCCTTTCACAGTCTTCAACTGAAACAGTGCTTCATTCATCTCATCACAAGCAGACGCTTTCCTTGTGTGAAAACACAAGGAAGTCAGTGAGAGAGAGAGTACACTGACTGGTACAAAAAGCTCTCAATGACCCAGATAACAATAATGATGTGGTCACTCACCACAGATATCCTGGAGTGTGACAGACATTCTGGAGTGTGAAGTTAGGTGGGCCTTAGGAAGCATTACTGTGAACAAAACTAGTGGAGGTGATGGAATTCCAGCTGAGCTATTTCAAATCTAAGATGATTCTGTTAAAGTGCTGCACTCATTAATGCCAGCTAATTTGGAAAACAGCAGGACTGAGAAAGGCCATAGGACTGGAAAAGGTCAATTTTCATCCCAATCCCAAAGAGAGGCAAGGCCAAAGAATGTTCAAATTACCATACAATTGCACTTATTTCACATGCCAGCAAGATTATGCTCAAAATCCTTCAAGCTAGGCTTCAGCAGTACATGAATCAAAAACTTCCAGATGTTCAAGCTGGATTTAGAAAACACAGAGGAACCAGAGATCAAATTGCCAACAAATACTGGATCATAGAAAAAGCAAGGGAATTCCAAAAAAGCATCTATTTTTGTTTCATTGACTGTGCTAAATCCTTTGTGTGGATCACAACATACTATGGAATATTTTTAATGAGATGGGAATACCAGACTACATTACCTGCCTCCTGAGAAACCTGTATGCAGGACAAGAAGAAACAGTTAGAACTGGACATGGAACAATGGACTGGTTCAAAATTGAGAAAGGAGTATGTCAAAGCCGTATACTGTCAGCCTGTTTATTTAACTTATATGCAGAGTACATCATGCAAAATGCAGAGCTGGATGAATCACAAGCTGGAATCAAGATTGCTGGGAGAAATATCAACCACCTCAGATAGGCAGATAATAACACTTTAATGGCAGAAAGTGAAGAGGAACTAAAGATCCTCTTGATGAAGGTGAAAGAGGGGAGTGAAAAATCTGGCTTAAAACTCAACATTCAAAAAACTAAGATCATGGCATCTGGTCCTATTTCTTCATGGAAAATAGATGGGGGAAATGTGCAAACAGTGTCAGATTTCATTTTCCTAGGCTCCAAAATCAATGCGGATGGTGACCGCAGCCATGAAATTAAAAGACGCTTGCTCCTTGGAAGAACAGCTATGACAAACCTAAGCAGTATATTGAAAAGCAGAGACATCACCTTGCCAGCAAAGGTCCAACCAGTCAAAGCTATGGTCTTTCCAGTATTCATGTACAGATGTGAGAGTTGGACCATAAAGAAGGCTGAGCACTGAGGAATTGACACTTTTGAACTGTGGTGTTGGAGAAGACTCTTGAGAGTCCCTTGGACAGCAAGGAGATCAAACCAGTCAATCCTAAAGGAAATTAACCCTGAATATTCATAGGAAAGACTGATGCTGAAGCTGAAGCTCCAATACTTTGGCCACCTGATATGGAGAGCTGACTCACTGGAAAACAGTCTGATGCTGGGAAAGATTGAGGGCAAGAAGAGAAGGGGACAACAGAGGATGAGATGGTTGGATAGCATCACTGACTCAATGGATCTGAGTTTGAGCAAACTCAGGGAGATAGTGAAGGACAGAGAAGCCTGGTGTGCTGCAGTCCATGGGGTCAAAAAGAGTTGGACATGGCTTAGTGACTGAACAACAACAAAGAATCTTTGCTATATGAAACATTTGCTACCCTTCCTTACAATCTGAATAAAATTGCTTTGTTGTTTTCAGCTTATGCCTACCACCAGCTTTCTCTGGGGCAGCTACTAGCTTGATCTGTAAGCAGTCCTATTCTTATTTAACAGAAAGCTATAACTTGTGACAAATGTTCAACATAAAAAAAAGTCAAAGGCATCTGATCTGTTACATATGACATTTGGATTAAAAAAATACAGGAAAACATAGGAATGTGATTTAAATTGATGTGGCCACACCTCCCTTTCGTTTCACTCCTTCTCTTGCAGATTTGACATTCTGGTGAGGAGGTTCACCAGAATCTGTAGCCCATCACTACAGTGTAGTGACAGAAGCTGTAGTCCATCACTACAGTGCTGCTAGCGGACACAACACTGGTCTCTCGGTCAGCAGCTACCGGATGCCATTGTTTTAGCTTATAGTTCCAAGAGCCTTTGAGAATTAACTTTATTTTCTGACTCAGCCCTCTTCCTGGGGAAGGCACGGCCCTGTTTTGAAATATACAAATGAAAGACAGCACTGAGAGTGCCTCTTCAGAGAAGGCCAGGACAGAGGAGAGAAGAAGGCTTAGTGACCAGCTGGATGGCCTTGAATAACTCATATCACCTCTCTGTGCCTCTTGGAACTCTGACTGAAGAAAATCCTAACCCTGCATCTCACAGGGTTGTTGGAAAAGTCAAATGAGAACATGGATAGGAATGTACTTCCACAAATGTAAAGTGATGCTACTATTTTCAAACATAGAATCTTCTCTGCAGCATTTTTTTTTTTTTTTTTTGGTCACATGGTCACTGCACAGGTCATTGCCAGATTATGATGTTGTTTCACATCCATTCACTCTGCCTGTTTCAGAGATTATGCCAGCAATGCTGCATCCATCCCTTTGGTTCATTTTCCTTCCACCATATCTGGAAAATGCAAATCTCACCATAACGTGAAATATTGCATTGAAAGTATGCAGCAAGAGTTCAGAAAGGAGAGATGTCACAAGTGGTAGAAAATGCTTTTGGAAGGTAACCCTATTATGCCATGTATTTTCATAATTTCAATCTTTGTCCTAGGTCGCACCACCCCCCGCCCCCACTTCCATGCTTCACAGACCAGACAGTATTATCTCTGTCTTTGTAGCTCCCAAGAACCTGGCATAGAGGGCACATCACAGTACATATTCCGCGTGAAGTGAGCCGGCTAAATAGCTGACAACAGCAAACCCAATGAGTTTTAACATTTATTTATCCAGACCAACGAGGCCAACTATCTTTAGCTTAGCATTACACACGGGGCTTTCAAGACCGGAAGTGTGCCCGGTCTCCCCGTAACTCCTGAGAAACCTTATTGAGTATGTGCTAAGGGCCCCCTGACAACAGGGGCTTTCACATAAGCACCTAAAATGCATTTAGTCCTCACAACTTACCTTCAAGCTTTAAGTCTATACTTTACAGATGAGGATACTGAGGCTCTCCTCAGTGAAGCCCGGCGCGTGTGCGTGGGCTGACGAACATCCTCACCCACAAACTTTAGATCAGCCTCGCCACACCCCACCTCCCTACCCCCAGGCATGTGCCCCAGCCACCACTCCCCACTCTCCGCCTGAGGCCGGCGTATAGCCAGTAAAACCCAGGACAGGCCTCGTCTGTGTCTAAGCGGTGTTCTCCCGGCTTCGAAGTAACGGTGCTCACTCACCCAGCTGCTCCTCACAAGCTTGGAGAGCCTTTGCCACCCACCCTATCCGTAGCCCCGGGCTCCCCAAGAGAGCCCGTCACAGCCTGGTCCCAAGGCTGAGGTCCCGTTCGCCCGCTCAGCGCTTACGGGGTCGGGACTCAGATTCCGGGCGAGGACACCTGCAGCGGTGGGTGGGGAAGCCCGGGGCGACAGCCAGAGGGCAGAGGGTCCAGCCTCCGCGCGGCCGCCGCTCGCCGCTCCGAACTACGCTTCCCAGCCTGCTTCGAGGCAGCCGCGCGCCCAGGCGCCGCGCCCGGCCGGGAGCCGCCTGTTGATCGCCGCGCTCGCCCCGGCCACGGCGCCGCCCTGCTCGCCGGCCCCGCTCCTTCGGGCCAGACGGACTGACGGCCCGCACCGCCCGCTCCGGGATGGGCTCACGCACGGGTGAGCGCGCCAGGGGTGGGTGGGGGCCCCCCGAGAGAGGTACCGTCTGCAGCCCCCAGGCCAGCAGCGCGGGGCGGCCGCGCCCTCCCTGCCCGCGGGAGGATGCTCTGCGGGGTCGGCGCTCAGCCGGGAGGACGGCCCGCACCGCCCGCTCCGGGATGGGCTCACGCACGGGTGAGCGCGCCGGGGGTGGGTGGGGGCCCCCCGGGAGAGGTACTGTCTGCAGCCCCCAGGCCAGCAGCGCGGGGCGGCCGCGCCCTCCCTACCCGCGGGAGGATGCTCTGCGGGGTCGGCGCTCAGCCGGGAGGACGCGCGGAGCCGGCACCGCCTCTGGCCTCCTCCGCTCGGCCGGCGGCGCGGAGGAAAGCGCGGTGGAGGGCTGCGCGGGAGGCAGGCGCCCAGCGGGTGTGGGTCCCACGCGCTGCACTGCGGCTCCGCAGTCTCTGCATCCCCCGGCCGCCGCAATGAGGGCGCGGTCTCTGTCCTCCCTGAGCTGCGGGGCCGGGTGTTTCCACGCTGGGCTTTGTTCCCCACTTCTCTCCTGTGAACCTTTGACAAGCTCTTGGAGCCTAATGCCTGTCACTGCAGCGTTAGATCGGGCGGCGGGAAAGGGTGGACTCCGGCTGGAGCTGTCACCCGCAGGGTGTTTCAGCCTCCAAGAAAGCAGCGTTCAGAGAGCGGCCTGATGCAGGTCGTGAGACTCTATTTCCACCCCACCCCGCCTATTTAAGTAATGTTAGTATGTGCTCCCTTGAGTCTTCCTAAATTTTCCTTGTTGACCTGCAGGAGTGAAAATTGGTTTTTAATAATAACAATGACAATAATGGCTCCTGATGGGAATTTTTGAAGTATGCAAAGATGGGAAGGTGATGCAGGCAAAATGCGAATTAGCAACGAAGGCTGTGAATGCTACGGGCTTCCCCTTGCCTATTATAAACATCGGGATCACCAGGTCCTTGGGAAGGGAATGAAAAGAACGTCGGAGCAGGTATCATAAAAACTCATTTCCCTAGCTATGCCATTAAGGAGCTAAGGGACCCTGGGCAAGTCTCTTCACCTCTTTTAACCTCTCTCTCCGTGTAAAACGGGGTGTTCCGCCTAAATGATTTCTAAACCTCTGTCTTTCAAGGCTCTGATACCAAGGAACTAAGGCGAAGAGGGTGCGTCTGTTCAACACCATTATAGAAAGCCTGACTGTGACAGGAGGTTTTACCTAGTGAGGAGGAAAGATTTTTCAGGGTTTAGGCAACTTGATTTTTAAAAAAATAGAACTGGTTTTCTCTACTCTCTGCAGTCTAATCCAATAAATATGCATTACAACTGTTTTAATTTTTGTGAATTACTATAACTATGTAGACAATAACATGCTATGGATTTTCTGTGTTTGTTTTTAATTGGCTGAAGGTGAACTGATGGGATCATCAGATAAAGAGAGATGTAAATGGCTCCCCAGGGCTAGGCAGGAGCCCTCAGCGGTGGTGAGCAAGGAGAAGGGGAGGAACCGAAGCAGCAAGTAACCAGAGAGTACAGACACTGAGGATAGAGAGGATGGGTACTGATGGGTCATTGTTTGAATAATAAATACACAATAGCAGGAATGAGAGAATCAGAAAACCAGCGCTCTGCAACTCTAATGTAACTGATTCAGGCAAGGATTCATGCACAGGTGACAAAACCTTTGAGCCAGAGGTTGTTGGGGAGGAGGATTTTGACATTATTTCAAAGTATTTTGCCACATATTACCTAGGGAAAATGTGTCCTTACAATAGAGAGATGAGAAAGTCATCACCTTAGGCTGAATGATCAAGCATACTGACATGTGCCATGAGTCTCCTGTTGGGTTATGCAATAAGATGGTCATAACTTCCCCTGTGTAATGTTCCTGCCAAAAAAGATGGTGGGGTCAGGATATTGTAGATTAAAATGTCCAACTGACTTAACAGTAAATTGGGATGTGTGAACTTTGGATCCTAAATCAGAAAAAAAAAAAAATAGCTATGAATGATGAGTTTGAGACAATTGGAGAGATTTGAATATGGATTACATATTAGATAAATATCATGGAATTACTTTTCATTTTCTTAGGTGTAGCGATGGTACAGTGGTCATGTAGGACACTGTCATTTTCTTTCAAGGTGTAGGTTTTAGAGGCAAAATGACATGACATCTGCAACTTTCAGCTGGTTCAGGGTGGGGGGAGTAAAAGGGTTGGGGAGGAAGCTGGAGAATGTAGCAAAATGATGACAGTGAATCAAAGAGAGTGGTATATAGGTGTTCTGTTTTTTACCTTTTCTGTAGATTTGAACTTTTTAAATTAAAAATTGGGCTGATTGATAAAATAGGTAAGCAAACAAAGGGAAAGGATTGCAGAGGACAGTGTGGACATCTGCAGTGTATCTGCAGGGAACTCACAGTGAGTCTGTGTCTCCCTGCGCTCACTCAAGATTTCAGTCCTGTTGGAGGAGTGAGTGGGGTCAGGGGAACTTCTCTTTCTTGCTTTGTCTTAATTGCTACCAATCGTTTATTCTTAAGACACCCCCTCCCCTAATTCCAACCTCAAATTCTGAAATTCCCATACCTTAGAATTTCTAGCCCTCCCCACAAACCATCCTGAAAGCGCTATCCCTTTTCTCTCTGAGTTCAAGATCTGTGCCTCTATAGCAGGAAGTTCTAGGTGCTGGTTCTTTCTATTTTTAATTAGGGGAATGTTGGAGGAAAAACAGACCTAGCTTTCTGACAGAAGTTCAAGGATTTCCTCTTGTTTGCTTTATTTGTGAATCACATACAACTAAATGTTTCCTTATAGACTATAAGCGGATCAGAGGAGCTCATAGAAGGCAGGTGCAGAAGATTTCCTACTACCAGACTAAGAAAACAGAACCAATTCTTAAGATATAACACTTTGATTTTATACTGAATCTTTTGCTACAGGATTATTTCCTACACACACACTCATAGGCTTTTATGTTTTGCCCCCCTGGTTTGGCACCAAGGCTATCCCATCTCTTTCATATGTGTCATCAGTATTCCTGGGTTTCCCTGCTGATAGCTGAATAGAGAGGGAATGAGAAGGTCAGCCCTAGGACTGTGGGTAATAGGAGCTCATGAAACAAGGCACAAGACCAGCTGCAGCAAGCCAGGATGTGAGGAGTAAGGAGCAAATCTGAGGTTCCAGTCCAATGAAGGAACCAGAAGGCCTCTTGTCAGAGCAGTGGGAGGGGTCCAGAGTCTAGGGAGCTGGGCAGCTGTTCAGCCAATATATGCAGGGTCAGCCACCCCTCTTGTTTATAGCTGACATCCATTCTGATGACCAACGCCCATTTCACACCAGTTATTAAATATTTTGCATATCATCTTGATAAGCAGTCATGAGTCAAAGGGCACATAGCACCTGTAACCCTTAACAAAGCTTTGATGAAAACCAAACTGGGAGACAGATACTGGAGAGGGAGAGAAGATAGGTGAGCCAAAAATTCATAAGCAGACAGAAGCCAGCTTTTGTCAACAGAACAGCAGAGAATTCTTGGTGCCAGTCAGGAAATGAGAAGCCCATAACTTCCCAAAGTCAACATAAGGGGACATAGCTAGAACCAATAGGCAGCTGGAGACCGACACCCAAGTGGAAGGCAAGGAGGTACGCAGAAGTCCAGAAACAGGAACTCCTTAGAAAGCAGAGAATAGGGGCAGACAAAGGGGTAGGGCAGCGACAGGGAGTAGGACCTGCCAAGAGAATTAGAAACCAGGTGGCAGTCTGAGCAGACAGTGAGATTTCCATCCTAGAGCCCTCTGCCCCAGCCAGGAAGCTTCTTGGCAACTTCCCGCCCCTGTGGAAACCTGTCTCATACTTTGGCCAGCCTCCCCATGGCAGCTCACTACACCTGGAGGCGCTGACTCAGGGTTCCCATAGGGCGCTGCCTCTCCACGTTCAACCGACTCTGACAAGGATAATGGAGGGAGCAAATAGCCCACGTGGAAGACTGCACCCAAGGACAGAAGAGAAATGGCTTTGGCTGAGGGCTTGAATGTGTTAGCAGCTGTTCCTGGTAGATACATCACCACATTAAACATCACCTCCACCCTCTGAGATAAGTACTGCTCTGCCTGTTTCGCCGAGGATGAGACAGAGGCTCAGACAGGCTGTCACTCGCACATGAATTGTAACCATCAGATCCAGGGCTAGTTGACTCCAAGGTCTATGCTTTTTGTCTTCTGTTCTCTTCTGAACCTGGAGGGAGTGGTTACTGGTGGGCACACTGTTTTAAAAGGAGACTGCTTTTGAGCAGTTTAAGCTATAGCCACGTTTGTGTTGTGAGATAGGACAGCTTTTCATTCTGGTAAGATCTATCCCTCATTCTCCATTCAGCTTGTCCCTTCCAATTGCTTTCTCATATTTTTTGCCTGAAATTCCTCCTTATCACACCCCATTCTCTGTCCTGCATCTCCTACCCAGATTTCTGAGGATATGGCAGGAGCCACTCGGTTATTAAAAAAAAAAAAAAAAAAGGCTTGAAAGAGCCATCTTGAAATAGCTAGATTCCAAAACACAGGCTTTGTGTTTTGTATACATCTTTGTATTTGCCTGCAGCTAGAAAGAAATTAAATATGTAGGATTACTTCCTGTTTTGATACCTAGTGGGGAGCTACTTTATAACTCAGGGAGCTCAGCTCGGTGCTCTGTGATGACCTAGTGGGGTGGGATGGGGGGTGGAGAAGGGGATATATGTATACATGTAGCTGATTCATTTTGTTGTACAACAGAAACAGACACAAATTGTAAAACAGTTATACCCAATTTAAAAATTCCTGTTTTGTTTTGTTGGAGGATATACTGATAAGCTGATTTTTTTTTTCTAATTTACTAGTTTTAGAAAATGTAAATTTGGCTCTCTTGTGCAAACTGGTTCACTCATTGTTGAAAAATTATTATAAAATATTGAAGATCCATAATAAAGAATAATAACTTCTCACGTGCTGACTTCCCCTCTTGGGATGAAATCATC